CAGGACCGCCTGGCGCGGCAGGCGGAGGGCAGCCTCGTGGCCTGATGGTGGTGTGTGTCGATGCTGAGGTGCAGAGGGGTCTGGCCGAGCGGCTGCAGGGACGGCTGGATGCGCCGATTCCTGTGTGCCCATTGAATCACTCATGGCGTCACTTCTGTGCCCTGGGTCCCCACTGGGCAGACCCACCAGGGCAAGCGGCGCTTTTGCCAACAGAGTTTATCCTCTACCAGGGGACTCAGTCCCCCACATTCCTCCCGCCCCCCTGCCCTGCATGCAAATCAACTCCCTGTACATTCCAGCGGCCCCATTACGCCGAGCAGGCATCCATGCCCGTCCTGGCTGCTACGCCTGGCGAGGGCACACGACACAGATCATTGAGGCCCAGCACCAGTGCCGGCGGGAACATGCCCCTGCATCTAATATTGAGCATCCCTCCTGCCTCTTCCCTCGTATACCTTCGTATAATGTATGCTATATGAAGTTATTACGGAGGCGTCTGAGGCCGAGGCGTCCGACCCCGGCGCGCCCATGGCCTTCATGACGCGCATCGCCGGCCCCAGCGACTCGGGCTCCAGCGCGGCCAGCTCCGGCGCCTTCCCTACCTCCTGCTCCCCCACGCTGCCCTTCGCCCTCACGCCCTCGGGCCAGTCCCTCGGCAGCGCCACGGGATCCCTGCCGCGCGGCGGCGCCGGGGCCGCACCCGCGCGGCCCGGCAGCCTCGGCGCCACCGGGGCCGGCGCGCTGGGCCTGCTGCGCCGGCCCTCCTGGTCTTCCTCCTCCTTCCGTGGCTCGGGCGGGCTGGGCAGCATGGGTCCGCCCACCGTGGGCTACTCCGTGTCCCCCATGCAGGTGTGTGCGGGGGGGAGAGGGGGAGGGTGTTAAGCAAAGAAGGGGGGGGGGGAGGGGGGGGGGAGAATTGTCATGGCAGATGCCTACATGAGTCGAGGGAGGAGTTTACACCGGCGTCGCTGAGAACCAGGATTACGGTGCATGTCGCCACGTGCCGCGCGGCGGCCAGCGGCTGTCCGACGCCGCCCCATGTGACCGTCCGTGCCTTGCCCTCGGCTCGCCTGCGCAACCCTCGCCGCACGCACCCCTCCATTCGGACAAACTCTCCCCCCTTTTCCTGAAGGACGTGACGCTGGAGGCGCTGCTGTCCGCCTCCACGCCGCGCCACTCCTCGCACCTGTCCGGCCTGCGCACGCTGCCGGCGGTACTCGTCGAGAGCAGCAGCACCGCCCTCGTCCACGTGGCGGGCGGGGGCCGGCTGCCCTCGGCGGGGGGCCCGTCGTCGGCGACGCACGTTGAGGCCCGGTCCACGCCGCGGGATGTGCTCGAGGACCTACTGCCCTTTGCCCTGGACGGCGAGGCCAGCAGCGTGGAGCAGGCGGCAGGGGAGGGCGAGGGCCAGGCTGGAGATGTGGGCGATGGAGGCCTGGACGGCGGCCGCGCCACCCCGCAGCCCGGAGAGCAGCATGGCGGCGGCGGCGGCGGCGTGGGTGGTCACCCTGGCCTCGGTGCGCTGGCAGCCGTGGACGGCAGAATCATCGTGTGCGTGCCATCGGCAACGCAGGGCGCCGTACCGAGTTCCATGTCGACCCAGTCGGCCGGAGCGCCCGGGACCACCGCGCTGGCGCTGCCCAGCCCCTTTGCGTCGGGCGCACCCCAGGCAGGGCACCCCACCTCGGCCCCCCCGAGTCAAGACAGCGACGCCGCGGTGGGGGCCTTTGTGCGCCTGCTGCGCGACGCGCCCCCGCTGCAGGCCTGCGGACGGGGTGGGGTGGGCGCAGCTGCGGGCAGCGGCGGCCCGCACCGGCGTCTGACCGTCGCGGCGGGGCTGGCGCGGCTGCAGAGCCTGCAGGACCGCCTGGCGCGGCAGGCGGAGGGCAGCCTCGTGGCCTGATGGTGGTGTGTGTCGATGCTGAGGTGCAGAGGGGTCTGGCCGAGCGGCTGCAGGGACGGCTGGATGCGCCGATTCCTGTGTGCCCATTGAATCACTCATGGCGTCACTTCTGTGCCCTGGGTCCCCACTGGGCAGACCCACCAGGGCAAGCGGCGCTTTTGCCAACAGAGTTTATCCTCTACCAGGGGACTCAGTCCCCCACATTCCTCCCGCCCCCCTGCCCTGCATGCAAATCAACTCCCTGTACATTCCAGCGGCCCCATTACGCCGAGCAGGCATCCATGCCCGTCCTGGCTGCTACGCCTGGCGAGGGCACACGACACAGATCATTGAGGCCCAGCACCAGTGCCGGCGGGAACATGCCCCTGCATCTAATATTGAGCATCCCTCCTGCCTCTTCCCGAACCTGAACCACCCCAGCAGCCCCCTCTGTCGCCAATGTGCTCTCACAGCATGTAATGTATGGGTTTGAATGGGGGAAGGGGTGTGGCAAGTTGGAAACAGAGTGTACACAAGGGGTGGGGAAGATGTGAGAAATTCATGTGCACGTCTTCATGATGAAGTCATGGGAAGTCCTTGCGCTGTCTCCTCCACGAGCCACTCCCTCCACAGGGCCAGGGGAAGAACTCAGCGCACGTCACCCGGCCACGTGCCAGATGCGCACCGAGCCGTCGCTGGAGCAGGAAGCCAGGAGGAAGCTGCCTTCTTCCCCGTCATCCCGCCGCCAGGCCAGTCGCCGCACCGGCCCGGCGTGCGTGGCGCGCTGCCAGACCACCTCCAGCGCGTTCCCGGACTGCACCCTGAAGCGCAGCACGCACAGCGTGCCGTCCTCGTGGCCGAGGGCCAGCAGGAAGCTGCCCTGCGCCAGCTCACCAGGGCAAAAGGCGAGCGCCCGCACCGCCGACCCCCTGCGCAGCTCCAGCGATTTGGTGAGGGCCTCGCTTGACCCCGGCGCCGCTCGCCAGAGGGCCACTATACCGTCGCGGGACCCTGTGGCCAGGGTTGCCTCGTCCGGCGCCCAGCTCACGTCGAACAGCAGGCGCGAGGCGGCCTTCACCCGCGCCACGAGCGTGAAGGGCGGGGCGCAGCCCTCTCCGCCATCCCCATGCAATGGCCGCCGGCGCCACAGCGCCAGCGTGCGGTCGCGGCTGACCGAGGCCAGCAGGTCGCCGCGCGGGGAGAAGGCCAGCCGCATCACCGTCAGCGTGTGCGCCTCCAGCTCCCCCGCCGGCGCCCAGCGCGCGCGCGCGTCCCAGAGCCAGATCGCCGCCGTGGCGGCGTCGCCGGCCGCGAGCCCCGCCGAGGCCAGGTACCGCCCGGCCGGGTCGCCGGCCAGGCAGGCCACCTCGTTCCCGTGCCCGTACAGCTTGCGCACCTCGGGCCACAGCGTGCTCTGCGCCAGCTGCTCCTCCAGCGGCGGCGCGGTCAGCGCCCGGGGCGCGGCGTTGGGGGCGCAGTCGGGGCCGTCGGCGTAGGACGCTGCGCCCGCCGCGGCGCGGCCGCCCCGCCCCTCGCCGGCCTCGTCGGCGCCGGCGGCGGCGCCCTCCTCCCACACCGCCTTGTTGGACAGGCCCAGCGCCGGCAGCGCGGCGCCCAGGGCCTGCTCGGGCCCGGCGTCGAGGCTCGCCTCAGCCTCGGCGCCTGCACCGCTGCCCCGCCCCGTCAGCGCCGCCAGGGTGGCGGTGAAGGTCCGCGGCGCGGTGAACACGCGCACCACCTTCTCCTCGCTGCAGCTCGCGTAGCAGGGCGGCGCACGGCTCGACTCCCCGGCAACCTCCCCAGAAGTGCTAGCCTCAGCAGCAGCTTCCGGAACCACGGCCAGGCCAGAGAAGTCGTGGCCGTGGACCTGCGGCCGCGCGACCTCCCGCCAGCGATGTCCTCCCGCCATAGCCTCTCGCGTTCCTCCACGCGCAGCTCCATCCCCGTTTTCCACCCCGACGCAGCGGGCCCAGCATCGGGCTGTCTGGTCCTCGGAGACCGTGAGCAGGCAGTCCCCGGCCCACGCCGCGTCCACCACCGCCGCCACATGGCCAGTGGGCGCGGGGACGGGATGCCACGGGCCCTCGGCCCCAGGGGCCTGTCCGTCGCGCCGCCAGACATGCAGTGACCCGGTGTACCCGTGGGCGGCGGCGGCGCTGCCGCAGGGCGACCAGACCCCGGTGTAGTACCCCAGGTGGTTGGCGCCGGCGTCGCCCAGGGCGGCGGCCGACATCCACAGGCCTATACTTGAGGGGGGGGCGAGTGAGAAGTCTGGTGGAATGGATGCAGGGCGGTATCCTTCACACACATGTGCAGCAGTAGTGAGAGAGGAGGGATGAGCAATCACTGGGCAGAGCCTGGGGTATACAACCAAACCAAGCGGGCACAAAGCCACTCGGATGAGGGACTCGGTGCGATATTCAATGTGCAGGAGCATCCCTGTGTGCTTGCTGGTCTAGGTCCCGGCAGGCACACATAACCAGGAGTCGGAGGGATGGCCCGGCTGGGGGTCGCTGTCCCGGCGATTTTGACATGCAGGGCCACTGGGTTATTGGGCCAGGCATGCTTCGAACGCCGGAGTGGACGGGATCCTTCCCAACTTGCATATAGCCAGGGGTGCAGTAGGAGCCCCGGAATACCGTACCCCGTCCCAGAGGCGCCGCCACCATGTGCCAGCCCAGCTCACCAGAGGGGTCGGGCTGCCACAGCATCAGGGTGCGGTCCATGGAGGCTGAGAGCAGGCAGGGCGCGCGCCCCTCGTCCCCGGCCGGCTGCCAGGCCACCGACTGGACCCAATCCTCATGTCCCACCTGCAGTGTTACCCAGGCAGCAAGGTTTGGGGGACGACTAAGGCTGCCGCTCCTGAGGCTAACATTCCACCCGCAGGGACTGCAGGGCGGCCATGAGTGCAGAGACACTGGCGGTTGCAAGAGTGTTGTCGCATCTTCCCAGCATCCTGATGCAAGCCCAGGATTCCTGCCCAGCCCTCAATCATCTTTCTCATGCCGCAACCATGCCCCATGCACCATGGCCCCTCACCAGCAGCGCCTCCAGCATCACTTCCAGGGACTCGATGCCGCCCAGCGCCAGCCGCGGGCGGGGCGCAAACCGCGTCAACAGCGCCTCGGCTTCCGGCTCGTTCCCGGGGGCCGCGGCGGGGGCCGACCCCGGTGCTGCCAGGGACCACACCCGAATGTAGCGGTCCTGGGAAGCGGAGGCCAGGAGCAGGCGACCGGGAGCATGGGTCCAGGCCAGGCCCCTGACCCAGTCGGCGTGGCCCTTCAGTCGCGGACCCGGGAGGAAGTCGCCGCCAGGGCCCCGGACGTACAGAGAAACCGAGCAGTCTACGCCGCCGACGGCGAGCAGGGCAGAGTCCCCGGCGCTGGCAGGGCCATGCGTCAGCGCCACGCTGTGCACGATGGGCTGCCCCGCATGCAGCGTCGAGGGCTGTGCCGGGGCCTGGACCTCGACCAGCGCGCCATTCTGCAGCGTCAGCGACCAGTGTGCCACGCCCGCACCCCCGGAGCTGGCACAGAGGAGGAGGCGGTCCTCGGCTGGCAGGAGCAGGGCAGCCAGGGACGACACGGGGGTGGTCGCGGCCGGGAGCACGGCCAGCTCCAGGGGGGAATTCTCGTGAAGGCTCCACAGACGGATGGTGCCGTCGCAGCTGCCGCTCGCGAGCAGGCTCTGGCCGGGGGTGGGCAACCACAGCAAGCACCGGACCTCCCCGGTGTGGCCGAGGAGGGAGGTCACCACCCTCTGCGCCTGCGCAGTGACGATAGACCACCGATTTTGATTTCTCTGATATGAACTGGATGACGTGCAATTGCTTTGCGCGAGCCTCTGCACCGCAATGCCTGGCAGTAGGTCAGTGTGCCGGCGCCTCACCTGGGGGTCGTACACAAGGATGGTGTGCTGGGCGGCGTAGGCGATCAGACCCGACCGTCCCCATGCCAGGGCCTGGGATGCACGATTGCACCCGGCTGCATGGTGCTCCTGCTCGATGTGCACCTCCATAGAACGCCTCGTGGGCCTCCGGGTCCCTCAGGCTGGCATCCCGCTGTCCTCACCGCTGTATTACTACAAGAAAGCAACGTGATAAAACATCCATGAGCTGGGTTTATGCAGACTGTGATGTGCCATCAGCATGTATATGCCAGGACATGTGCCTGTGAGCATGGGCGCCCGAACTTGTAGTACCTCGCCCTCGGGCGCCCTGGGTCTGCTGATAAATCAACGACCAGAGAGCCGGGACGGATCAGGGGTCGGGCTCGCATCCAAAGGCCACACAGGCTTGGACTTCAGTCACGAGACATATCTTTGAGCCGTCGGGCGTCCGATCTGAGGGCGGACCTCGAGATGTCGACGGGCCAGTGGCCTCCCATGTACCCCGGCATGGCTGGAGGGCCCATGTACCACCATCCCGCCATGGGGTGGAATGTGATGAACGCACAGATGGCACCCCAGATGCCGGCCTTCCCCCCAGGACATCCCATGTACCCGCCCGCTCCCCCCGGCCAGGCTGCCCCTCCCTACCAGCCCGCCACGACCAGCGGCGAGCTCCGCACCGTATTCATCACGGGCTTCCCGCCCGACATCAAGGAGCGGGAGCTCCCCAACCTCCTCCGCTTCCTGCCCGGCTACGAGGTGGGTGGTGGGCGGCATGATCTGGTGGGGATCCTTGGCAGTTACAAGGGTATCATGGAGTGGAGTGGCTGCTCCCGGGTCGCACGTGCGGTGTTTGCTCGCGGGCCTGAGGCCGCGTCCCACCAGGGGTTGAAGCTTGCGGTTGCAGCGCACTCCTGGCTGGTTCACCCCTCGTCACGCCCGCCACAAGAACCCCTGCACGCAGGCCTGCCAGCTGCACACCCGCGCCGGCGCGCCCCTCGGCTTCGCGCTGTTCAGCAGCACCCACGCAGCGCAGGCGGCTGTCAGGGCCCTCAGCGCCCTCGCCTTTGACCCCGAACACCCCCTGCGCGCCCAGCTGGCGCGCAACAACATGAACGAGAGCGGCGGGCCAGGGCGCTGGGCGGGCCAGGGCGCCGGCGCCCTAGCCGGAAACTCAAGCCCCACGCGTGATCACCCGGCCTGCAACACGCTGTACATCGGCAACCTGGGAGACGCTACCGAGGAGAGGGAGCTGAACGACCTCTTCGGGTGGGGCGGTGTTTTTTGGGGGGGGGGAGAGGGGGGTCGGGCGGGGTTTGGTGTGAAGGCATGAGCAGCACCACTGCCAGGGCCAGCAGAGCGCTCCACGCGCAGGGCCCAAAATGAATGGTCATTTTGGACTCATGGGTGCTGCATTGTTCCTGAAAGACATGCAGCAATGTGCTCGTGGTCTCAGACAGCATCCAGCCCTCCATTCAACCCCCCCAACTCACCAACCCGACGCCCGCAGCTCCTACGCTGGCTTCCAGCGCCTGCGCCTCCTGCGGGGCTCCCGCACCGTCTCTGCCTTTGTCGTGTTTGAGGACACGGCGACGGCCTCGGCAGCCCGAGAGGGCGCGCAGGGCTCCTCGGTGCCCTCCTCGGACCGTGGCCCGCTGCGCATCCAGTTCTCGCGCAACCCCTCCTCTAACAAGCGCGACGCAGCGAGCGCGCAGCTGCCGCAGGACGGTGGCTGGATCGCGGGCAGCGTGCAGCGGCCGCGGCAGGGCGACTACGCGGCAGCCGGCGTATGAAGCGGCGGGGGCGTCAGCTGGCGTTCATAGGGTCGAGGGTTCCGGGAGGCGGAGGTCGCTAGGATGGTGGGCAGCGCTTGCAGCACGACAGCAGGAAGTCTCCGGCAAAATACCGAGAGATTGCCGCCAGGGGTGCCCTCGCCGGTGGGCCGCACAGCCTGCGTCCCTATCAGGTGTGGCCAAGCTCACGTTGGGCTCCACAAGCTCACGCTGGGAGCTGAGGCGCTCAGCCATGTCACCTTGTCATGACATGCTTAGCGCTCAGCCCAGCAGCCTTGCTCACCCATGCTCGGCACCCGGCTCGGCACCCTCCCTCACTCACCCCCGCACGACGCGATTCTCTACGACAAGGAGTCAGCTCTAGGACCCGACATGACCCACCATGCTGGAAAGCGCGGTGTGCAGGTCTCATTGAAACGGTTCTCCCCAGGCACCCCAGTGCCCCAACTGCAGTTGCCGCCTCCTCCACCCATGCCTGCTGCATTCCCATTAAATGTCACTGCTGCAACTGACACCCAGCGGATTTGCAGAAGGGTCCCACGCCGCGAATTTGCTTGGTGCAAGGCATGCACGCTGCGCAGATCCCAGGTCAGCTGATGGGGGTGTCGGGAGTCGGCCGATCCCACTGCACCTTCTTGGTGACCTTGTGCCAGTAGTAGACCTTGCCAGAGCCGTCGCGGGTGGCGCCCCAGCCCTCTGGAAGGCCCTGGGTGGGGTCAGCGGCGGGTGGAGGTCCCGCTGGCGGCGGGATGGCGACCGCAGGTGCGAGTGCCGGGGCGGCTGCAGCGGGTCCGGGGCGGGCTGCTGCGTCAGGGCCGCCTGCAGGAATCGAGAATGAGAAGGCTGTCATTGCATTGAAAGATGCATGCGCTTGAGATACTGAACCTGTGGGCACGGTTTGGCATTGGGCACACTCTTGGTAGTCGCACTGGCGACTGCTCACCAGTGGGTGGGAACACTTCCGAGGGTTCCCCTGCAGCACCTCCAGCAACGCTGGGGGCCTGCTGTGCAGGCTCAGGCTGGGGGTTCTCCAGCTCCTCTTGTCGTTTCTGCTCGGGGTCGGGTGGCAGAGCATGAAGGCCATCTGGAGCGTACAGGTTTCCAAAACTCTACAGGAGCCTTGCAGGCAGTCCTGCAGGTACATCCACGCTGCCAGCTGGCCCCCCACTCACCCTGGCCCAAGCTGCTGCGACCTCCGCCAGCTTTGCGTGGTCCACCTCCCTGGCCTTCTTGATGGCGTCGATGTCGGACTGGAACACCGTGGGCTGGATGCGGAAGGCGACATCGCCGTACATTTGCCGCCAGTTGATGGTGCCGGTCGTGCACTGGGCAGCCTGGTGCCCCATCTGGAAGGTCGAGGCGGGGTAGGAGGGGTAGGTCAGCCGTGTGCGCCACCATGTGAGGATTGGATGGATGGCCCTGCATCAAGAAGCCAAGGTCTTCGGCATGCTGCCGGCTCAGCCGGGCGAGACACCCACACACTCATCGCTGCAGTCACCTGCCCACAGATGTTGCAGGCTGAGGGATGCCATGAGGGATCCCTCCGTAGCTTATGGTGAAGCTCCATTGGGTCTACGTACTAGTCGAAACACCGGAAGACCAAGCGCTGCAGTCTGTCGAGGGGGATAGGGAAGACCGTGCTGGTTCGAAGGAGAGTTAACGTGCTAAAGCCGACGAGATAAGGTCACACGCGTAGTCGTAGGAGTGTGAGCTTGAACGCAGCTCGGTAAGGACTGGTCATGGGACTCCAGGTGCAGGCGTGGTCCCGGGGTGCAATGCTCGCGTTATAGCGCCCGATGGGGCAGAGGGAGGCTCACGCTTCGGTGCCAGGTGGTGCCCTGTGAAATAATACCGATGTCCAAGCCACACTCGGGTCCCTATAGCATCGGGAATGCCATGAGGATTTCTCTCAAGGTCAATTATTTCAGGTGGCGCCACCATTGCGGCGCGAAAACACATGTACAGGGCAATCGCATGTCCAGCATGGATGCGGTCAGTATGCCAGGGTGCTCTTCTTGGCCTGCAGGAAGGCGTCCAGGGTCTTGAAGAAATCCTGGGCGATGACAATGTCCCTGTGCCGGCCCTCGCGCGACAGGCTGTACACCTTGACCTTCCAAGCCTTGACTGCAGGCATGCAAGGGGAGTGGGTGTGAGGCGAGGGGTCTCACAAGATGGAGCGATCCTCCATCGATTGAAGCGGCCACTGGATGATGCGCGTCACGCTGAGTCAGCTTGCGACCTGCAGGGACCCGTGCCCAGCCCCGCCTCCGCCCCCACACCCTGTCCGGCCTGCAGCTCACCGGCGGGGTCGATCTGCTCGTCCTGGTAGTGCAGGTACGCCCCCGCCATCCTCTGGAAGGTGTCCAGCAGGTCCCCCGACGAGGCCCCCGGGAAGGGCCACTTCTTGAACTGCCACGCCTTGCCCGAGCAGAACACCGCGACCACGCGGTCCCAGTCCCTGCGGTGCCGAGGTTCCTGGTCTGTCACCTCGTAGGCCACGGGCTTGGCACGGCCCATGGTCCGCGAGATGATGAGGCGGTCGCTCTTCCGCACGCCCTCGGCCTGTCAGGGTGGCGAGGTTTTGCGGTTTTTGTGGGCGGTGTGGTTCCATGATATGCTTGTAAGCCTGCAGAACGTGGGATCCCTGCCAAGCTGGTCGACCATGCGCCACTGCTTGGCGCCCCTTCCCCCCCCGCCCTCCTCTCCCCCCACCATCACCTCATTCCACCCTCCCTCTCCTCCCCCCCCCCCTTTCCCCCTCACCCGGCACTGCTCCACCGGCTTGAAGGTCCCCGTTTCCAGTAGCGGCCCGATGTTGTACATGTTGACCATGGAGGTCAGCCCCGGCGGGACCATGATGATGGGCCGCCCCGACCTGACCGACGGTGCGGCGGGCGCGGGCGGGCGCACGCCGTGCTGCTCCGGGGCGGGCCTCTTCTGCGCGCCGCCATCCCGCGGCCCCGCCTCCCTCGCCCGCTTCTGGGGCGGTTGCCCCGGGCGTGTCGGCGGCGGCGGCGGCGGCGGCGGCGGCGCGCCATCGGCGGGGCCTGCATCGCGGGACCCCGGCGCCCTCGCGCCAGCGGTCGTGAAGGCCACGCTGCTGATGCCCAGTTGCTGCGCGCCCAGCGTGCGCAGCGTGGCGTCCTGCGCGGTCTCGCGCTCGTAGCGGCCGGAGGGCGCCACGGGCAGCGCTGCCGGCTGCGGGGGTTGTTGGGGGGCGGGGACTTTGGATCCCGGACATGCGAGGCCTGGGGTGTGGGTCGGCCAAAGCGGCACCAATGCAAGTGCCGAGGCTGACATTAGATCGCCCCGCCTGCTTCTAGATTGACAGGCCCTCCCCCCTCCTCACATCCCCCCCCCCCCTCCTTCTTCTTGGGCTGAGTCAGGGGGGCACAGGCCTCGTCGGCCTGCACGGCGCGGAGGAGGGCCAGCACCTTGTGGAAGGAGCGGCCGGGGACCAGCAGCATGGAGTTGCGGTCCCGCAGCTGGAGCTCGTTGGCCAGGACGCGGCGCAGGGTGGCCTCCTCAGCGTCGCCCTCCTTTCCACCCACGCCGCCCGGCCCCGCAGCCTCCTCGCTGGGGGCGCCGAGGGGCGGGAGGCCGGGGTCCACGGCCTCGGGGCCCTCCACCGGCCCCAGGTCCTGGGGACCCTCCTCGATGGCCGCCGACTTGTCAATCTTGCCGGTCAGGTACAGCTCCAGGTCCTGGGGTGGCGCACGAGGCGGGGGTGATTGAGGGGGGGCAACACGCACTCGGAATCTCGTGCAGGCCCTTGCAAGGACAGGACCAGCAGTCCTCTGGTAGACGAGCTTGAGAGACGCAGGTGAGCGCTCGCCCTCCGCTGGACAGCAGTGTGCGACTCCTGGCACGGCCCGAGATGTGGTCACCACGGGGCGGTGCCCCTCGTGCTCCCAGATGCATCCAGGCCCGCTGCCTCACTACCCCAACGCGCGAGGAAGATGCAATCAAAAAACCACACGTCCCACCACACCGGCATGCGCCAGCCCAGGGGCTAACCTTGCGGTCGATGAAGGTGACCTGCCCGACCCCGGCCTCCCTGGCCTTCTTGAAGTAGTCGGCATACTTGAAGGTGGGGCCCAAGTTCCTGGCATAGAAGAGCAGGGCTCCCAGATCGTAGAAGGCGCCGTCCTTGGCCTGAGACTTGTAGGCCGTCCGGGCAGAGCGGGGGAGGGCGAAACGGGTGCCGAAGTGCACCCGGTCCCCCACCGTGGTGACCTCCTCGAGACGCCCACCGCTCACGTACTCCCGCAGGAGCCGGAGCGGATCCATGTCGTTACGAAGACGCCGGTCGTGGGGGTGCTATCACTGCGACATTGGAGTCAGGCCAGAGGCGCCGAGCGACAGCGTCAGCGGCAATCCACACCGCACGCACTTGGCTAATCGGAGGTCCAGTGTCGGGCGTCCAACACTAGAAAACAAAGGGGAAGGTCAGCGATTGTAATGACCGCAGATCGGGTGCATGCGTCTCGCAAGGAGTTCTCTGCAGTGTCGAGGATCCCGGCCTCGGCGAAGCTCCATCCCACCCGAGGGCGCAAGTGAATAGGGCAAGCTAAGTCCGAAATGTCTCCACCCGATACGTCTTCAAGCAGCTGCACGATTGACTCCAAATTCCGGTCATGATCAAAAAGACAGAACTCGAGTCAGAAAGGCAATTCTTTCTGTGATGACCAGCAATGCCTTGCGTACTCCACCGCCCACTATGAGTCTCATCTATTTGCTGGTGATTACATGAGACACTAGGATTGGAAGAAAAGGTTTGCTTCTGCAAACTCAGGTGCAGAGAAAACAGTTGGAGTAACAATATGGAATGCCCTGCAGGTGCCGCACTGACAACCAATCGGACTGTAGCTGGGAGATACGGAGGCTGGAGCATGCGTCATATCTATGCCATGTGCCGGAAGGGGTTCACAATGGCGGGCAAGTCAGAGGCTTGCCGGGCCTGCAAAGGGGGGGTAAAGAATGGTGGATGGGAACACCGACCTTAGTGGCATATGGCCGAGAATCTGCACCTCCCGATACGAGACTCCCCGTCAACACACCTTGGCGGACAACTGATCCAGGGTCGCGTTCTCCCATTCCTTGTTGTGGAAGCTCGCGGGCGTGGCGAACAATGACGTCGTGTACGAGCTGGCCACTGCGCATCAGGGTAATGAGGGTTGGAGGTGGGTGTCGTGTCGAGGGCGGTCACGCTGCATGGGCTGCAGTGCAGACTCTATCGCCATGCGTATAAGATGGTTTTCAGTCATGACTCACCAGTGGCAAATGCCAGGCTGCCGAGCAGGGCGGGCACCACCTTGCGGGCGGGGACGACGTAGTTGAGCACCATGTCGGAGGTATGGGACTTTGGGCTGGCTGCTGGCTCCTAGGCTGGTTTGTGGATCGAGGGGTGCTTGATGAAGACCTGTATGTTTGTTTATAATTTTCTGGGATGGGTATGATGCGTATTTATGCTGTCCCTACAGTCGACTGCCCCATGGACGCGGACACCTAGCCAGGGCACGTATCCAGGTCGCGTACTCTCATGCTGCGCATGCTTCGGCGACGTGCATGGACGGGGTGCCCTCCCGTTCCCCGCCCTGCTGCGCCTGCAGCCGAAGCTGGGCGCCACCCCCTGAAGACAGTGATGAACATGTACCGAGGGTGGTGTGTATCTCTGGCATGCCCTCGTGGACGCTCCGCCAGTCGGCACCATCAAGTGGAGGGCATGCAGCCCATGTGGACCGAGCTCCGTCGTTACGCGGCAGCCACTCCGTCGCATGCAGCCTGTCCCTTCACTCTGTCAACTTTTAAACAAAGGGATCACCACCATATGATTGCCAAAGGGGGAAAGCACGAGAAATGTACATGGACAAGGATGGAGGGTGGGGGATGGCAGGAGGGCTCGAGGGATGGAGGGCGCTGCGCGCAGCATTCTCACACCTCCTCAGCACAGCGCGTTGTTTCCGAATGCACGCCTGGCGACATACGCCAGGCGTGGCAGCGCGGGGCATGGGAGGAGTGATGCACGCACTCCAGCGCGTCCCCTCCTTGCATCCCCGGCCACCGTCGGCCGCCCCACACGCGGCCGCGACCGGGCCCCCCCTTGACCACCCTAGGTTCTCAGGCCTTGAACTCCAGCATCATGTTGTTCTCCGGGGCCAGGCCGACACAGGCGCGGAAGACGTTCTCCAGCATGGCGCGCTGCTTGGCCAGCGCGTTGACCACGGGCGTGCCCTGCGGCACCAGCGGCGCCTTTGTCAGGTAGGACAGCAGCACGGCCACGGGGTGCAGGCCCGCCAGCTCCTCGCCATCGCGCGCCAGCCGGATGCGCGTCAGCAGCTCGGCCAGGATGACCAGGTCCAGGATGATGGGCGCGGCCAGGAGGCTGTCCTCGCACGTGTTGTGCATGGCGATGGTGTTGCGCCCGCCCATGAAGATCTCCGACACGTACTCGTCCAGTGCGCGCTTGGAGTCGGCGACGTAGGGCACGTACTTGATGACCACCACATGGTCCGGGTGCTCCCCCGGGGCGTAGAGTAGCTCGTTGGACAGCACCATGTCGTCCACGACGTTGGACTTGGAGATCTCCTTGGAGCGGAAGGTGGCGGGGGCAGACAGGTTCATGCCGTCGTTGTTGCCCAGGTGGTTGTACGACACGATGCTGACCGGCTTGATCCCCGCGCCCACCAGGTAGTCCACCAGCACGCTCTTCATCTTGGTCTGCCCCGACTTGAAGTCGTCGCCGCCGATGAGGACCCCCGCCTCTGTGGCCAGCTCGATCAGCCCGGGGACAAAGGTGTTCTGGGGCGAGCCGTTGACGAAGGGCACGCCCTCCTGCACGCAGGCCAGCGCGTAGAGGGTGGAGGGCGCGATCTCGGCCTCGTCCCGCTCCACCGCGGCCAGCAGGTTGGCCGCCGTGTCGTTCAGGCCCTCCAGCACCTCCGCATAGCGCTCGGTGTTGGCGGTCCAAAGCACCACCACCGAGTCCAGCGAGTGTGCTGCGCGGAAGTCGCGGATGTGCCCGCGCACGGCCGCCACCTGCTCCGCGCGGCTGCCCTTGATCAGGTTGTCGGCGCGGCCGACCTGGTTGGCCGCGATGAAGTCGGGGTCGTAGATGCCGGGCAGGGGCACGGTGCCGCGCATGTAGGGCACCAGCTGCTTCTGCAGCTCAAAGTCCAGCACACGCGCGCGCTCCATGGCGTCCGCCAGGTTCAGGCTGGAGATGTCCCAGCCCCCGACCACGATGTCGTTGGGGTGCACCATGGGCAGCAGGGAGGAGAAGGGGACGTGCACCTCCTCGCCCTGGTAGTTGCCCACGCGGCACGTCGCCGCGTGCGTCAGCGACCCGTAGTAGTTGGGCTTGCGCAGACCGTCCTTGGTCATCCAGGTGATGCCGCTGAGGAGGGGGGGGAGGGGGGAGGGAGGGGGGGTCGTCAGGGAGGAGGGGGGGAGGGAGGGGGTTCGTCAGGAGGAGGGGGTAACCACAGAGCCCCAGCTCAAACAACAGGACCAGTCGCACACGCTAACCCGAGGGCCTCGATACCAAGTCATCACCGCGTGTGCGTGAGAATCACCTCATTCACACGGGAACGGACGGGTAAAAATGCCATTACATTCTCTCCCAGCCCTACTCACTGCTTGTTGGCGAGGATACCCGCGGTGACGGTGGTGCCGTTGTTGCCACCCAGACCCACGAGCATGACTCTGCGGCGGAGAGGGGTGGTAAGCCATTGGTTCACGCCAATGTACAGGACAAGCTGTGCAGACACCCTCGCTCACGGGGACGGCGGCCACTCCAGACCCCCGTCTCACCCCAGCTTCGGCACGCGGCGGTCGGTTTTGAACTTGTAGGCCACAGTCTTGGGATGCAGCTCCCAAGCGCCATCCGCGGTCATCTTCACCTCGGTGGTCTGGTAGTCGTAATTGGAGGTAATGGCGTCCTCGCTGTACTCCACGTTGGGGCTGACCACCTTGAAGTCCTTGACGAGCACCATCCTGGCGGGGTGGGGGCCGGCACGAGCAAGGCGGCAGGGAGGGCGGGTCCTGGAGAAGGGTTAAAACTGTGAGCGAACAGTGTCGTTTTCATGGCTCAGGGGGCGTGTCAACTCAAGGCTGGGGGGGTCGGTGACGTGGGTCTGCCTGCCGGGTTTTCGGACCTTCCTGTGAGCGGCGCGGATTACGAGATCGTTCTCAGCTGGGCTGCGGCGCCGACAAGTCCCTGAGTCAAAGGGCTCGGCGGTGGTTACACAGCATTTCACGTCAAGGAGTGCACCGGTCCAAGGCACAAGCTCACACCACGGCAGGATGGTCACTGAAAACTCCTGCCAGGCGTGCGCCGGCTACATGATGGAGCATGTGCAGCAGCCCTTGGGCGGCACGGCATCCACCACACGCTCCGGCTTCTGCATGTTCTTGGTGGGGTCGTAGTCGTGCATGCTGCGCCAGGTCAGGTTGTTGTCGGGGCGCGGGCCTGAGGGAGACTCCGTTTTTGCAGCCTTTGGATTTGGGGGTTGGGGAGGGGAGGGGGGGTTGGATCATCCTTACCAGGGGACCCTGGGCATGCATGGTGGCACGGAACAGCAAACCCCAGCGCCCACCAGCTCGGCGCCGGGGGCTGAGGCGACGGTCACACCCAGGTCGTACGAGTTCTCCGCCGTCGGTGCGCACAGTCACGCGCGCAAACCATGCAGGCATCGACCCGCACCCCGCTCACCTCCTCGGCCGCCTTCTTCTCCGCTGCCAGCCGATCCTCCTCGGCCGCCTTTGCTCGTTCTGCCTCCTCGGCTGCTGCCTTCTCCGCGGCGGCCTTCTCCTCCTCCTCCGCCGCTGCCCGCTCGGCGACGGCCTTGGCCTCCGCCGCCGCCGCTTCCTCTGCTGCCGCCGCAGCCGCCGCCGCCCCCTCTGCAGCCATGGCCTTGGCCTCAGCCGCCGCAGCGTCCGCCTCGCGCTGGCCCGCCTCCTCGGCCTCCAGCGCCTCCCGTTCGGCGGTGCTCATCTCCAGCTCCCGCTTCACCTCCTGCAGCTCGGTCATGAGGTCCTCCAGCTTCCGCCGCGTCTCCGGCGCCTGCTCCTCCAGCGCCGCTGCAGCGGCCGCGGCGGCCGCGACGCGCGAGGGGCCCCGCGCGGCGGCCGTTGCGCCCGCCCTCCCCCCCCCCGCCGCGGACAGTCCCACCCCGATGCGGCTGCCGCCGGCCGACAGGGCGGCGCTGCGGTCCCTGCGCAGCGCGGCGGGCGT